GAAATGTCGTTACAATCACCCAAACACGTCCAAGTCCATCGTGAAATACTGATTAATTCAGTCTCCGACTTGTAATCGATAGAAACAGATCGGCAAAGTCAACATGGCGCATTCTCATCAAATCCGGACATGTATTGATGACCTGGACGAAATGATAAGTCTAGAGTTGCAGACGGAAATCAATTCTAATCACGGATCGCAGTAGGAGACGGAATCAGGAGCTGTAATGAAATCTGCCAATCAAACACCGCGGTGTTCCCCAAGGGTGCGTGTTGGGGCCGATAATATTCATAACAAATCGTTCTGCTCCAACTACGGCCGTAATGATTCACTGTTTGTTTCTTAATCAGCTGTTGTATCAGACAGGACAATGGAACTGGCTTACTTGGTTACAAATACTCTTACTTTTTATCCTTAGTTTCGTGTGTTTTTTTTTTTTATTGTGTCATTCTACTCTTACTCTTACTCTTTACTACCATGGCCATCGATACCCAAGGTGGTATTTGGCCTCGCCAACTGAATGCCTCCATTTCTTCCGATCTTCAGCATCTTCCTCCATGATTATTATCTTCCTCATATCTTTGGTCACTTCATCTTTCCACCTCATTTTGGGACGCCCAGGAGGTCTTCTTCCAACAGGGTTCTCTTTCCAAACTTTATTTATCAATGTCAATCTTCTCTCCTTAACACATGCCCGAGCCATCTTATTCGTCGAATGTTTACTTCCGCCACAGCATCTGGTGCTTCATACAGGCCTCTAATTTCTCTGTTATTTTTGATCCTCCATTCACCATTTTCTCTTGTTGGTCCAAAAACCTTTCTTAGTACTTTATTTTCAAAGGTGACAAGTTTTTTTCAGTACTTTTGTCCAGAGTCCATGTTTCAGAACCATAAAGCAGAATTGGACGAATTACAGTTTTGTAAATTTTTAGTTTTGTGTTGACAGAAAACAGCTTTGATGATTATACAGTAGTTTATTCAAGGCAAACATACATCTATTGGCTGCATCTATCCGGTTTTGAATTTCGGAATGTCATTCTACTCTAGTGGCATTTATTTAAGTTCTTTTGTAGGGAATGGTTCAAACCCTGGTCTTGTTACTAACGCCAACCTGTTGCTAGAACGCATAATTGATACCTTAATAACACATAGTAACAATCTCGCATGGAATCCAACCAGCGACTTTTAGATTTGAAGGCGAGCACTAACCAATCAACTAAGGAAAAAAGTTTACACTGGTTTTCTGATCATGTCACCAGAAAATCACCAATGCCACACAGCACGCATAACTCCTACATCATAATGAACCACGGCATAAGGGAATTCCTAGCAATCCCGCGATTCATATTTGCAAGTCGATCGTCGAGCATGCATCGCCATCTTGACCGTTGGTGTTGGGTTACCAAGTGAACACGTGATGAAACAAATTGTTGGCTGGACTTCAACAGATCGATCACTCTTAGCCAACCAGTCTCTGGCTCATTGCGACAATACTTGTTATTAACTGTTTAACATCTGGTTGATACGGAGCTGCCTCGAGCTAAGTGTGATTTATGCTGTAATTGCAACACTGGATTTGAGAGTATTGACGTGTTATTGATGCGTTTAATGGTGTTTCTTTAAAAGGATTTCTTATCGTAGTAAACGTTATGTGGTGGAAGTTCTATTTTGATTGGCTAGCAATCAAAGGTAGCCAGTTTGATTCTAAAGTGTTAGGTTTTATTGTTCCAAATTGGACCCAGCGTCCTTGGTCATCGGACTTTAAATGACTCTGTGTTGAGAAACCACTGATCTTAGTCAGTAAACATAGCTTCACAGGGCATCTCACTCCATTAGAGAATTCTTCTCATATCTTTGAATTACATATTTTCGTCGAAATACTTTAAATGCACCCAGGTATATGATTGGAAAATGTAATGATTGTAACAACATTATTCGGTTTCGCATCTCTCAAGAGCTACCTAGTTTTGGATAACTCAAGAACATATTTTCCTTGAATGGATATCCCAGACGAAGCCCCACGGTTCTTGAATGGCAAGCCCCGGATCAAGGCACAAGCTAGACATCACTGTTCGAAACCGATCGTATCACCATACTGGCTTATCCATGTTACTTATACTGTACCGTGTCGATTCTTCACTGCCCTGTGTAGCCTTCTTTATTACTCAGATCATCTGTTTCTTAAGCAAAGTCTGTTAACTAAAGTACAGCTGGGTTCGGTTATGAACTATCAAAAAGCTACTGAATTTCCTCAGGACTTTGGGGTTTTTAGGCGAGCAATACAACAAATCGGCTGCTCATTTGTATCCATAGAAGATAAATATAGACGTATCAATGAACCTGTGTATCTATAGAACCAGCAATAGAAGCTATAGATCCTAACCCAAATCCACTAAACCTCACTAGATCTTAACATTGACGGATTACTTAAGTTAGATTTTGTGGTACTGGTGTCTACCCCTTCGTACGAAATAGAAACTGGTAGAACTACTTCTACTGAGCTACCAAGCTATTTTAGACGAATATATCACACAGTCTTGGTAGTATTATATTTTATAACCCACACCGACACTTGTTCAGCATTTCTGAGCTGGTGCTGTTATCCGTCAGTTATAATTGGTCCGCGTGTCCGAGCCAGTCCGCTATCTCCACCTCGGTCGGATCATGTTCCTCGCTATCTTTATGTCCAACATTCGCACATCCGGGCATATCCCACGCGGGTATTTGTGTTATTTACAGTTATGATATGCAAGTGTTGTGTACCTTGCCGCTCAATATTTCTCCCCTGGTAGCATAAGTTCCGCGTTGACATGTAGTAAACCAGTGCGAAACGAGGTGTCATACTTTGGACAGTGGTGTGGAATTTCAGAAATTGTAGGTGTGGATGAGGGTGTTTTTATGTTTCGTCAACCTACTTGTGGGAGGAAATTGTTAAGCAAGGTCGTGTTGAAAGACACATTTGAACCTAAAGCTTGTGATGAAAGTGTAGGACAGGTATCAACAATTACATAGGTTGGCTTTTTATTATGGAGCTGTACCCACATCTAGAATGAGATCTAACGAAGTTGAATTGAGACCTATAGAAAGTGCAGTATTGTCTTGCTAATTTCTAACGTATCTATAGACTTGTTGATCAATCCCAGACGAAAGATCTAGCTTACTGCAAAGAATATGATCTCTAGTGCCACACAATTTCCAAGCGTTGAAAACTAAAGAAGAAATAGAAGTTTGGCAGTTGCAAACTGTGTGAGAGACACTTTCAACCATGTTCGATTTGATTTGAAAAATGTGCTGTAACTGTTTGTTTTGGGTGAGACATCTACTAAGTATCTAACTGTCGATTCTACCTGTATGGACGAATCGGGTGCACAAGTATATGCCAGTGAATTAACAGCAATAAATTGTAATCACCTTCGAGCTCATTGCTAAATGGTTGAACAATCTACAGAACTAGTTGATAGACGATGCCTTGGGTCTACCTCTACAATTCTCCACGGTACCTTGATACTCGGTGATTTAGCTAAACGAGCGACTCTACCTAAGTACAAGTTCAGAGGTTATCAAGGGATATGTTGCGCGAGGCTATTGTTGTATGAATCACCATGTGGGAGGATGAATCATCCAGTCTCTCTCAGTCGGTCAACTGATTCATGAAACTCCACCGAATATTTTATTCAAACCACTGAAAGCTCTAACTTCTTTCTCCTTAGTTATCTTAGTTTCATCATTGATCACTCTAATTCCCACCAGTTCCAAACATCTTTCTATGAATAGTTGTAAAAATAGCTGTAACAGAACATTCATAAGTTCTTCTAGCCAGCGTCGTTGCTGAATATGTTCACTTTTTTCCTCTAGTTTCTATTCATGTCTCTTTTCCCTCATGTTTTCTCAACAAAAACACAAAACATCTGGGTCCTTTAACATCCCTCATAATTACATCATCGACCACCCTTTATCTTTTTAATTCCTAATTCATTCAACCTTCCTCATAGTTCCGTCTTCTTAGAGACAGTTTCTTCATAGCTTCTACACATTTCTCCTGTCAAAAAGCTACCTCGTGATAAATTATGTTTCACTCACATTCCTTATAGGTCCATTGGCTCTATAATCTTTTAACCCAAGTTCCTAATAGTACTCATATCAAGGTTTCAGTTGCTTAAAGGTTCAGCATGAGAAACCAGATTCCTCATATATCCAACACCAAGCTCACCGTTTCCTCGTTGCCCCAGCGTCTTACTTCCATATCCCTCAGAGTCCCAACACATTTCCCCTGATCCTTCACAGTTCCAACTTCTTTCACCCAGATATTTCACAGTTCCAACATCTTTCACCCAGATCCCTCAGAGTTCCAACTTCTTTCACCCAGATCTTTCACAGTTCCAACTTCTTTCACCCAGATCCCTCAGAGTTCCAACTTCTTTCACCCAGATATTTCACAGTTCCAACATCTTTCACCCAGATCCCTCAGAGTTCCAACTTCTTTCACCCAGATATTTCACAGTTCCAACATCTTTCACCCAGATCCCTCGGAGTTCCTACATCTTTCACCCAGATCCCTCAGAGTTCCAACTTCTTTCACCCAGATATTTCACAGTTCCAACATCTTTCACCCAGATCCCTCAGAGTTCCAACTTCTTTCACCCAGATATTTCACAGTTCCAACATCTTTCACCCAGATCCCTCAGAGTTCCAACTTCTTTCACCCAGATATTTCACAGTTCCAACATCTTTCACCCAGATCCCTCGGAGTTCCTACATCTTTCACCCAGATCTTTTACAGTTCCTACATCTTTCACCCAGATCCCTCAGAGTTCCTACATCTTTCACCCAGATCCTTCACAGTTCCAACTTCTTCCACCCAGATCCCTCAGAGTTCCTACATATTTCACCCAGATCCCTCATAGTTCCTACATCTTTCACCCCAGATCCCTCACAGTTCCAACATCTCCCCCCAGGCTCATCTTCCGTCACATCTTCTCACTGACTGTTCCATGTTCCAGGGGAGAAGCCGTACCGATGCCAATGGCCCGAGTGCGAGTGGAGATTCGCCCGCTCCGACGAGTTGACGCGCCACTACAGGAAACACACGGGGGCGAAGCCCTTCAAGTGCGCGATCTGCGAGAGGTCCTTCGCGCGGAGTGACCACCTCGCGCTGCACATGAAGAGACACCTTCCCAAGACGCCCAAGTGAGGAGCCGCCCGAGTTGGGTGCGTCACTTCCAAGAGGTCCTCGGACTTCGCCCCTCCGGAAGAGTTGGACATCCGAGGAGACTCGTGAAGACACAACGTCTCTATGATGGTGAAATGTATCACTTTCCTTGCCCGTTGAAATTTATAGGTTTAATGTATACTGTAAATATTGATTTACACTGAGCAATAGTTTACTAAATAATTCGTTTGATCATACTTACTTCTAAGGAGCTAAAGTTTAAGCATCTATTTTGTAAGATTTGGTGACCTATCCTTGACTTATTGAGAACAATTAAGATTCTTTTCCTAATTAAAGTTGTAGCCAACGAACATTGTTGAATTGACAATTTCATAACGAATAATTCCACTCACCTCCAACACATATGGCCAGAAGTCTTAACCTACTTCCAAAATAATTTATAATTCCACTGTTAGCTTTATGAATAATCTACAAAATTTAGGTTCCTCATTTGGAAAATGATCTCTTTTTATTTATTTGTTACGAGATCCACCTCAATGGAAGTGCCTCCTGTCCGGTGCGATAGTTGTATATCTGTACAGTAGAACGTGTACAAAGTTTAGTGCCTTGTCCATTCCAAAGACTTTGTGTGTTAAACTGACAAGTGCCTGAAAACCCCTGTTCAAACCAGAAATCCCAGTGATGACAGTATTATGTTTCTTTGAAAGACAATTTTTGTTTTAGATTCTAAGTTTTCAGTATTAATTCTTTGATGGTAGCTGTTTTTTATTGCATTTAAAGTTTTTTTCGTCATACTGCAGCGAAAATAGTGTTCAATAAATTGCAAAACTAAAGGGAAATCTAGGTTATAAAGGTATCAGCTAGATCAGCTAAGTGTTTTTCTAAAGAAAATAGTTCGGACTGAAAATATCGTATAGTCATTTCAATTTATTAGTTAATCACTGTTTGAACATTTTATATTTTTCACACATAAAAATGCCCCTTTATCGATGTTTAATGTTGTTGAACCAAATTTAAGTAATTTTGATTTCAAATGGATTGAGTGCCCCATGCATACTTTACTTTCTTCAAACTGTACCAATAATATGCATTTAAAAAAATTAATCCATTTTGGGAGTTAATTTTAAAAAAATCTATGTGTTAACTATGCATTGGTTTAATGGTGCAGTATGACGAAATATGATCACGGGCCAAATGAGTTTTTCCCACTATTTTTTCTTTCTCAAGCTCATGTTAGCAACATCACTTAAGGCCCTGTTGATAAAATATAGGTTGTGAAAACTAAAACTATTTACTATAAAATGTACACTCCCTTATTAATATTTCTGTATTATTAAGCTGAGTATTTTACATAAGCTTTTGCTGAAGACTTGTTAAGTAAACAATTAAACGTAACGGGTATAATTCTCCTAGCAAGACATGTACTTACCTAACTCAACCACGCTAGTTTATGCCACGTAAACACTGTTATTTCCCGTAATATTTGTCCGGTGCCATAATTTATGCCGACTATTATTTCTCAGAAACATTTACAGGCTATTTAGTAACACCGGTTGTAGTCAATTTCAAAACACATTTGTGAATACATCTCTAATAAACCTACCAGCTGATTATAAAGATGTTTCAATGTCATTGTTTGAATCAGCTGATTAATAGAGTCAATAATTAACTCGCTTAATCATATGATCACAACCATTCATTCCAATACCAAGTGATTATGCAGATGTGTTCGTTTTTGATTAACGAACAAAGCTTTTATTACATGTAAGAACAAAATTGTACTTAAGAATCCCTAATTATTTTTATTTATCGTACTCAAATGCGTTACTTATTGTGTGCCTTTTGCATTTTTTATTTGTTATTTTAATGCAGAGTTTCATTGATCTTCTGTGGCCTTACATGACTTTTGAGTAAAGAAAAAAAACTTTTATTACAGGTAAAAACAAATATGTACTTAAAATTTTCAATATTTTATATTTTTGCATTCACGTTGCTTATCGTGCCTATTGCATTTTTTACTGTTTTGAATCTTTGAAGTAGATTTGTATAAGTTTTATTGATTTTCTCTGTTACGAGTTGAGTCAACATCTTGATGCTATATGCAAATACCTGAGTCTTAGTAACAATGAAATGTTAGCATAACTTATTGTAGACTCCCATGTAAGATTGTTTTGTATAGTTTAGGTTTGTGCCAATTCGTTTGTATATACATTATTATATTGTGTTGATCACTTGATTAGTGTTTAAGTAAATTATTTTTCGATTGTACATCAAGCTGCTTTGTGCGCCGTTGTGAATTTGTAATATTTTAGATATTTCTATGACTATTTTGAGCAGATTCTAGTTATGGGATGGTGATGTCAGAAGAGGTTTTAAGAAGGTTTTTGGTACAACAAGGAGTTATTCATGTACTAAAATTAACTTTTAAGTGTCTGAAAACTCTGAGATGTATTAAAACAAACCCAAAATAATATGTTGGTGTATATCATTGTAATAAAAAACAATAATATTAAGAGGAAAAAACAACTCACGCAAGCAAAAACTAAAAAAATTGTAGCAGTTTTCCAGATGAAATTTCTTTTGCATACTTAATTCACTTTTGTAAATCTGTGTATATTTGTATCCAATTAGACTAAAACTGTTATATAAAAGCACAAATTCAATTCATTGACTTAATACACTACAACATCAACACAATCAAATTTTGGTTCAACATTCTTCCATAAGACTACAAGTTATAATATTAATGTTTAGTTCGGTGTAGACTAATTGTATATCCTTTAGAGAAGACAACACGTCAAAGAAAATTTGAATAAAAAAATATTATAAGTGTCTGAAAACTCTGAGATGTATTAAAACAAACCCAAAATAATATGTTGGTGTATATCATTGTAATAAAAAACAATAATATTAAGAGGAAAAAACAACTCACGCAAGCAAAAACTAAAAAAATTGTAGCAGTTTTCCAGATGAAATTTCTTTTGCATACTTAATTCACTTTTGTAAATCTGTGTATATTTGTATCCAATTAGACTAAAACTGTTATAGATTAATATAAAAGCACAAATTCAATTCATTGACTTAATACACTACAACATCAACACAATCAAATTTTGGTTCAACATTCTTCCATAAGACTACAAGTTATAATATTAATGTTTAGTTCGGTGTAGACTAATTGTATATCCTTTAGAGAAGACAACACGTCAAAGAAAATTTGAATAAAAAAATATTATACCTTTTTCAAGTCTAAAATCCACACAAATTTTAATAATGTACGACACAAAAACATAATTACCCAATTACAATACTTTTAACTCTTTTGAACGCTCTGACCTGCGTACAAAAATAATCAATTTTTATATTAACAAATGGCCCTGATATTCAAACCCCCCAAAACATTGAGAGATGCTTGCTTCAGAAATACGAGGGGGGCGTGTTTGTTTTGTAGGGGGACCGTAGAGGGGTTTCATGGGGGGGGGGGGTCGTGTTGTGGATGTGTCTATATCCGAGAGTGAACCGGCAATAAGTCTTATCTAAGTGATAAGAGAGTTTACCATAAAGTAAATAGCTGTGATAAGATAGCTCAGACTCGTCGTTCTGTTACAGCTTCACAGCCTGGGGGGGGGGGTGAAGGGGGGTTTAGGAGGGGGGCAGTTGTCCTGTCGAAACGAAACATTTCCAGTTCCAAGTGTTATTCAACGATATATTTTTTTCCATGAGTTGGAAATATTCATGTAATCTTATTTTTTAAACATGAAACTGACAAGGATCGGAATCTAGCTTTCTAATTTCGTACTCTTGGTCAGTTTTATCATCCGGCGTCGGTGGAGTGTATTTCATTGTATAAGTCCTCTGGGCACGTTTAATTTGAAATCATAGGACAGATAGGCAACAATAAAGCCATCAAAGGTAAATTTGTTTTATACTAAATGTTTTATGGATATTTTTATAAACTTTTTGGGCCTTGTAGGTTTATTTTTAGCTTCATAGGCATCCACACAGACTACACCGTGCATAACATCCACAACTACCGACATCCCTCTAAAACCACCTGTCTATACATAACCATGTACACCTTCCACAATATCATCCACAACTAGCCACAATCCAAATCATCCACATCCATTCACAACCGTCCACAATCCAAACCATCCACATCTACAGCCATCCACAAACATCCACAATCCAAACCATCCACATCAACATACATCCACAAACGTCCACAATCCAAACCATCCACATCAACATACATCCACAAACATCCACAATCCAAACCATCCACATCTACAGCCATCCACAAACATCCACAATCCAAACCATCCACATCAACATACATCCACAAACGTCCACAATCCAAACCATCCACATCAACATACATCCACAAACATCCACAATCCAAACCATCCACATCTACAGCCATCCACAAACATCCACAATCCAAACCATCCACATCTACGGCCATCCACACAGGCCACATCGTCCAGGCGATGTATTCTATACAAACACCTCTTGTGATTTTACATCATAAACAACCTAGGCTGACAGGGAACGTGATTTTAGTCCAAACACACACTTTTAGAGTTAGAGCTCAAACAAATACACCACACATAAACTTCTACAAGCCGACCAAAAATAGGAACAAAACATTTCAGAAGGTTAACACCTCAAAACTTATGACAATAATGAAATAAAATCTTAACGATTTCATAAAATTATACAAATTATTTTCTAGGTTTATTTTAGTCGAGTGAAATTGGCACGGATTCCTAGAAATCATTTGAACAGCTGATCGCAACTCCTACTCTCATTGTTGCAATAATCCCGAGTTTCCAAGGAGCTGCGAAGGACGTATACGTGTCTCATTGTTTCTGACCGCGTGGGGTCGGATGAATGGAGAGGCCGCGTAAGGATTCGTGCTTCTGTTTGTTAGGTTAAAATAGAAAGGGGTTTAATGTATTTTAATATAGCAATTCGTAATGTTAGAGTAATATCTACAAAAAGCGTTATGTTAATGATACTATGTGAATATATTACTTGTGAGTTTTAAGATGATTTCCCCTAAAACCCGTTTATATTGATAACGAATTGTAGCCTTAACTGCTGTAAACTTGTCCGAATCTGTTAATTTCTATCATAACGTTTGGGGATTTTCCCCAAATGGTGTTCATTACATTGATAGCAAATGGTATTAACTAGTCCAAATCCAGATAATATAATTACTACTTTGAAATATTTCGTCAAACCTTCTTCATAGACAGAAAACGTTGTATAGAAAATTAATTTCCACGCATCATAAAATACTTGAGGTTTTTAGAACAATAAATATTTTCCATAGTTCCTCATAGTAGTGCATTTGATGGGAAAGTGAATGAAAATAATATTCTATTAAATTAAGTTAGTGCTTTATGGCATTTTTACCGAATCAAAACTAACAAAATTGAGTTAGGGGTTCACTGTTAAAAGTCTCTAAGCTCTTACGTAGAGTAAGAGGTTAGATGAGTTTTAACCCTAAATCACAGAGAATAGAGCATTTTATATTGTATGTGCCTAAACCTAAACCAAACATCTGCAAACGCCTGCAATTCTACAGCGGCCATAACGCGTGCGTCTTGCTTTGTGCGTCAGAGAACAGAAGGCGTTTTTAAGTTTTAGAGTACCTAGTTTTTTGTTTAAGCCTCTCGGATTTAATTTACTTACATTTTGAGACAATTAGTAAATCGTAATTGAAATTTATCGAGAAAATTCGCAGGTAGAAGATCCTTGGATACAAGAACAATTCTAAAGGGTTAAAAACGCTTTAATATTTATGCAGGACTAAGGAAAAAAAGTATTAATAGTTTTATT